GACACTACACTACCCAGAATCCTCAGCTATTGTTTGGGACTACACCATGTGCTTCTCTCGACAAACCCCGTGATTAGTTCTCAAGCTCTGTGATTGGTCGACCTCCAACTGCATTCCATATGAAAAAAAACGTTTCGTAAAAGATAAAATCATACTTTATACAGCAGTGCTTGCTTTACTCTTTGAAAGTCATCACATGAATGCATTGTAATAAATGGTTCGGCTGCATTAAATATTACACATCTATCGTTGTTCTTTATTCATCTACAGAGATCGGGCCTCAGAATAGACTGGAAACGGTTCTTTTACCATTCTGTTTTAATTTCACAATAAAGTTAGTAGTAATATTTTGTTTTGATATTATTGTTTTTTATTAACTACTAGACCGCTGGGTCATGTTAAGACCATCTTTTCTGTGTTGCTGTGGGTTTTTTCCATCGCTTTTGTGTTACAAATATCAAAACAATAACAAAAATATATCCGTCGTAAACTAAACCGGAAACAGCAGTATATTTTATTTTGTTAACACTGTAAACTTGAAGGCTTTTTAACCCAAACCACCTACTGGTTAAACCACGTTATTACACGTTTAGAGTAATTGCAATGCAGGTAGATTGTGTTGCTTTTTAATGACTGTTTAAAATGCCTTTTTCTTAATATCTTTCATTTTTGTAAAGCACTTTTGAATGTGTTATATTTTATGAAAACATTTAAATATTAAGATTACATACAAAATAGGAGGAAAGTAGAAAATATCAAGAAGATACTGTAAATTATATCTAGAATAAAACAGTTTAGTGCCGGATGTGGGTGGAGGATGTGCAAAACAGACAAAAATAAATAGGCTTTATTTAAACATTAAATAATACTTTAGGTTAAGGATTTCTTTTAAATACATGTGAGCAAAAAGCTTTGGTGGTATCTGATAAATATTAAGCCTGACAAAGTACTTAACGTTTAATATATTGCATGGTTTGTTTTGGGACTTGACAATCAACTTTCCTGCAATGTTAACTATGTTGAAGCACTTATTTATTTTTAACCAATATTATACATATTTATTATACTCTTATAAGATGTATGTAGATAGAATAAGAAATGTGCAGAATATGACAGTTTAATGGTGGAGGTACTGTACACACATATTGATAGATGTCTTGTTGAGGAACCTATGACCCAAGTTTGTCATCATTGCATAACTACACCGTAGTTGTGTATGATATGTCAATAAACCTTTGAAAATCTTGAAATCTTGAAAGGGATGTGCAAAATAGCCATTATATACAGTTTTTGATGAACGATTAGAGAATAACGAGTAATGAATATGCTTTATACGGATCTGCAGATACATTTTTTGTCTTCTCAAGCACCCACTATCAAATATCACGCCCGATTGTTTGCACTCGACAATCACCTTCACTACATTTTACTCAGGTGTAACTAAAGTCTGATTTAAGGGTTGTTTATTTTTCACATCATTAATCAGAATCTGTGAAGTAACTAAAATAAATGTTGTGGAGTAAAAATACCACGTTAACCTTAAAGAAAGCCCTCAGGATTCTAAAAGACCCCCATCACCCCAGCCACAAACTGTTCTGTTTGCTGCCGTCTGGCAGGCGGTACCGCAGCACCAGGACTAAAACCACCAGACTCAGGGACAGCTTCATCCAACAGGCCAGATGACTTTTAAACACCCAAACAAACTTTGAAACAACATCCACAACATTCATCTGGCTGCTACTTAGAAATTATTTGTCAAATATATCATATTCCAATCACTATAGACTCTTTTTGCACTATTTCACTTTTTTACTATTTTTCTTTTTGTATTTACTTGCACTATCTTTTCTGTGTATCTGTTTTATTGTGTTGCACTGTTGGACCTGTGACCTAAGGGGGGGTAGGACACGTTCGATTCCTGTTTTGAACAGTGTGCCGTCGATTGGATTCATTCCATTTCAAAGTGCTTTTTGACGCTCCGTGTAAACTTCGCGCACTGCCACTCCAACATCCAAATCACAGAGCTTGAGGACTAATCACGGGGTTTGTGAAGCAAAGCACATGGTGTAGTCCCAAACGATAGCTGAGGATTATGGGTAGTGTACTGTCTTCTGCCATCCTAAACTCTGAACAAATATTTGTTTCTCAGAATCGAAGGGGAAAAATACTAAAGCATTGTACACAATTTAAATCAATCAATGTTGTGCAATCAACAAGGATAATCTGGTGTTTTTTAATTGATGAGTAGTGCAGATATCACTGTAAAATCAATCGACAGTAAAGAGAATACTTACTTCCGGGTGTAAAATTCTCCGTTATCCAATAGGAATGGACGCTCACATTGCCTTTAACAGCCGCCCACATGGACCGATGAGGTGCTTTCCTAAGCGTCAAATACCGCCGCCGATGGGAATACATTGCAATCAGTTGAAAGCTCTTTGCGTCCGTTTATGAAGCTGAAGGGGCTTCGGCGCGTCGCAACTGGACGCCATGGACCCTGACCAAGCGTCGCTCCTGGACGTTCAGGGAGTGAGACTGTGTTGATTTAGAGCAGTAATAAACTGCACTTTTTGGCACTTCCACATAGTTTTCACTGCCCGGCCACCATGTAGGCTAGTAGGTGCAGTTTAGCTATTCTGAAGTATTACAATGTCAGCGATAACACCCTTTTATTGGGCTGATAACATTTTAAATTGACGTTGAAGCTGTTCACTCCTTGTCTAATCCACTTGTGAACATTGTAAAGGGAGGCTGTAAAGCTCCACTGATAGTTCTTGTCTTGTGTGGGCTAGTGTGAGAGCTTATACAGTGGAGGTTTCCAGGGTATTGCACCATTATTGAGTGAAATACATTAACCAATACCAAGAAATGCACTTGCAGACGACTACAGTTTAGCATTGTAGCTTGCAGTTAGAGACACAAGGAGAGCAAATACAACCAGGCATTTCTCCGCCCCGATAATCTCCAGCATGATCCGCTAATGCCGGCAAGAGATGCTTGTTGAAATTATGGAAACTGACTCATCCACATATGATTGGAACTGGGGGAGTCAGACGCCCAACAAGGCTTTTTGGAGTAAAAAACCCTCTGTGTTCTGTAATAATCGAAAGCTCAGATGACTCTATTTGTAGCTTTAGGCTTTAGCTGTAGGCCCTTTTCCTGAAGATCCTCAAACTATACAAATTATTTTTAAAGGGAGAATATTAAATCCCTCTTGCACAAATCAGACAGAACAACCGGATGACAAGCAAAATATTTCCCTCCTCACCTTCTTGTTTGTCGGAAACATAACAGACTTCCTTTGATCTATAGTTCTCATTAATTCACTCTGCCTGTGTGTCTGGTGTTTAGCATAGCCTGTTTAGCATATCCCGGCAAAGGAGGAAAAAATATTGGAGCAAGCTCTTTGTGTTGTTTTATATGAAAATGTTTTCACCCTTGATGACTAAGGAAGCATCTCAACATCCTTTATTGTGCTGCTGCGTGTTCACTGACAAAGACATGGGCTTGTGACTCACTCCTTACTCACTCCTGTAATGAGAGCTCTTACCAGCTAGTGCTGCATTCACACCAACCGTTGTTGCATGAACACAAACCACAGTACCTCGGCTCTTACAAAACGATTGGGTTTTTTGCAGGATTTAGTTCCTACCTAGGATGAGTTTGTGGCCTTAAAACAAGGGTGTTATACCCGAGGGGGCTACTTCTAACTCAAATGACCTATACAAAAATAGAAGTAGTGATTCATTGAAAGTATATCCACATAATTGTGTTAAATGGGCCCTTTTATGCAAATGTTCAGGTTCATACTTGTATTTTGTGCCTCTACTGTGACATGTTTATGTGCTTTAATGTTCTAAAAGGTCTTTATTATTTATTAGTGATTAATGAATACAATTGAACCAAAATGAAACAATTAGCAGTAAAATAATTGGCTATAAGTTATGAATTAATTGTTGAAACTATTTAAATAATAAATGCATTATTTTAAAATTGATAGTTTAAAAATTAGGTATGAACAAAAGCTAAGAGACTAACTGTTGACATAGCAAAAACTAGCATAATGGATAAGCAGTTAAAATAGTAAGATAATAACCCAAGAAATTGTAAAATAGTTATGAACTTCTACTATCTTTTTTTACTATAGTTAGCTTTAAGTAATAAGAACAACTTTTAATACCCAAATGGATGCAGTTTAAATTGTTAAACAATAATAAAAGGAAACGGTTTAAGTAGCTGGCTAAAACTATTGAATAAACATTAGAAATATCAGCATAAAGTAAACGTAGTTTTACAATAGTAATCTAAAAGTAAACATAAACAGCTGAAGTAGTTTATCCCGTTTAAAATCTATGTATTAAAACTATTTGGCTGGCGTTTGAAGAGGTAGTCGGGTTTATCTGATAGAGCTGTCAGGGTATGTCAAATAGAAAAGGTTTGGCACCTCTGTTGTAGATTATACACATACCTGATAATCTCAACCCCCTAATGCTCTGTTACTGCATGAATGTGACTATCAAAATAATATAAAGGCACAGTTTGAAATGTCAGTCTGTCCTGTACCCGTATTATTCGGTGTGTTGAGCGGAGTGAGGATCAGCGTTTATGTTCAATAACCATGATGGTGACTGCACAAAGGAAGGTGTACTTTACTGCACGCAGCTACTGTATGAGAACACTGCAGCTACACATTTCAGAGCTGCTCCTCTTTTCTAGAAAAACCACCCACACTCCGTGACTCAGTCTGTGTTTGCTTTTCGCTCTAAGGACAACTCGAGCATCTCAAGTACTGGGCCAATTCTCTCAGGTCGTTGAGCGTTTTTGGGATATAAATCCGATACAGAGCTTCATGTTATATAAAACCACAGAGAGAGAAATATGTTTTGCTTTTAGGAAAGGACATCCTTCCTTTCTGATTTATTTGTTATTACATTTGAACATGTCTTTATTTGCACTATGTACATGTTGCCTTCACACAGAAAGAAATCCCCGAAACATAATACAAAAATGTAATCTTCTTTAATTGCTTTAGGGCACGACACAGAGAGAGCATTATCACCCTGGCGTTGAGGAATGCATTCAGCAAATGTCTTTGTTGTGCGGATCACAATGAGAAGGAAATAGCAACAGCATTGAAACCCACGTACTGTTGTAACACATTGCACAATACCAGGTTGCCAAAGAAGCCAGATAAAAACACATCATTTTTGAATGATACGCTACATAACACAAAGCATGTACATCGTTATCAGCAATAAAACCTTCTCCAAGAGATGGAACGGACGGACAGTCTTTCAGTATAGTTACAGTGATGGTCATGATGTGTGCGTACATTGGTGTAGAATCAGTAGCTCATCAAATGGGTCAGAGGTCAAACATTTACAGTGTAATAACCAGCTTTTCAGATGAATAGAAACTCAATGAGCTGATTCCAAGGGGCCCCGAACGAAATGAACCAGCATTCAGCTTGTCATTATCCGACTGCCTCAATGTTTATTCATACACGCAGCCAACAATAACATTCAAAGAAAAGTCTTGGGAGCCTACCACAGTTTTATTCAAGCAAAGCGTGTTGGAATATTCCCCTCGTGGAGCATACAGGTAATATTCACTCTTCATTAGCACAGCAGAGCAGACTTACATGGTTGTTTTCACATGTTCACAGAGGCGAGGATACCTAAATGGATTGTTTACTTGCAGGGTTTGACAGCAACCAGCGACGCCAAAAGTGGCTTATTAGTGGAATTAATGTGGTTGTGCTATTTTAGGGTTATGCTCCAGACAATAGACATTCCTTAAAAAAATAAAAGCCATTACAGGGAGATAATTGTGCACCATAAATGTCAGGTATGACTAATGCATGACCTGTGCAGAGAAACAAAGTGTATAATGTCTTCTCTGGAGGATTGAACTACCATCTGCCTGAATGTAGGAAATAAAAACACAAACTAAAATCGCTGTTATTAATGAGCCCTTCATACAAAGAAAATCAGTGAAATTGTCTGTCGCGTGTCTGTCTTTAAACCTGTCTTTAAGAGTAATAGCTCTTGAAATTAAGAAGGAACAAAGTGTCTCGGAGCATTGTTACTATGAAATGTCCTTCTTATTAATAGCTGCATTGGGGAATGTTGAGCTTTGCACAAAATATGAGCCCCTTTCACCGCCTGATCAATTTTAATTTAGGCTTTTTTTTATGATGTGACAAAAACAAGTTCTTAATCCAATCAATCATGCGTTGCAGTATACTGCTGGCATAGCTCGAGTCATGCAAAGAATAATTGATCACAGCTAAATTCAAAGCTGTCAGACCAACGCACTCTGTTTATACGCTCAGCCCTGGAGGAAACGCAAGGCCTGCCTTTTAATGACATTATCTACCTGATTTATAACTTCCTGCCCATTGTTAACGGCTGATGTTTCATTTTGCGTTCCCTCACCAGGAGCAGCGTTTTTGGGAGACACTGTGCAACGTTTCCCCCTGAATTTCTGACCATATGGCCACCTCGCATGTCATCAAGGTGCCTCTAGAAAGACAAAAAAAAAAAAGACCAACATAAAAACAAAGCACATTTGCATGTATGTAGGCAAACCTTATCTGGCATGAACAGCTTTTGTTAGATTTCAGGGCCTTTGTTTGATGGATGGACACCTTCTCAGAGGTTTAGTATAGGCCCGAGGCTCCATTGAGATCCTTGTAACTCATGCTGTATTGTTCAATGAGTCGCCTCTGATCTCTTTTTTTCCCCGCAGGGCTCTTTCTCTGATTAAAATGAGATGTTCTTTATTTTTTTCTGAAGTTTCTCTGTAAATGAAGCCCTCCTTTGTCACAATTCGAGAAAATGTGAGCAATCTACTGCGGGTCAGTCAGCCAAGTGACCAACACAGCCTTGGTACTTCTGAGCCAATGAGGGCAGCTCTTGGTCTATTAAAGACAGTCCTGGGTGGTAAACAAAGATGACAGTACACTAGAGAGGCTCTTATTTTTAACTCAAAAAATCACAACATAAAGTTAGTTTAAGAGCGGTTTGTGTCAATCTTTTAACCCTCCTCAAGTTCAATTTTTTGTACTCATTAAGTGTGCAATGTGATCTTCCAAGTGTTATCTTCTTGATGTGTCTTTAGGAGTCCAGGAAGTTAAAAACCAGCCGAAAAAGGATGAAGCCAACAGGGGTTTAAGTTGATGGGATGCAAACTTGACTCCAACATGGAACCATTACTCAAACTGCCACAACGAAAAAAAATGCTGTCTATCCCCAATTCCCCTTCTTCTCCCCCTCCAGCTTGACCTCTCTCCAGTCACTGTGGCTAATCTTTGCTGACAGATGGCCTGAAGGGAGAGAAAGACGGAAAGAAGGGAAGCTGGAAGGGGAAAACTGTACATCCCCGAAACAAACTTTTCCTCAAAGTCTGCAGGAGTAACGGCGTTCCCATGAGGGGGGTTATTCTCTTCCATGTTTCCCCGGAGATGTATTGTAGGGAGGGTGCCACTGCTATATGTGTCCTGGTTTAGAAAGGTAGGCAATGAGAGCAACCACCACCCCCACATACACACCGGTGCCTATAGTGATGGAGAGGGCAGCGAGGAACAAAGCGCGTCTGGAGGCGATGTTGGCCAGTGGGAAGTCACCTTTGTTCACTGCCTTGGTGGTCTGGAAAAAGGAGAAATAAGCAAGAGAAGAAGAAAGTCAGATACAGTTTGGAGGTAGTCAAGAGAAAAGGGTGACCCATTTTTCAAAAAGAGCCATAATTACAGAAGCTGTCTGTTATTTCTGTGCCAGTGCGAGGGAAACATGCAAGTGGAGGATGGGCTAATGCTCGCATAGCATGGTTGAGAGTAGTAACCATAGAGTCCAGTAGAGGGCCCCGTCTGTGCTTATATAACTAAGGTTACAATACGTAACCCCCCGATTCTTGCTTTGTAGCAAGAGGTTTTTTATTTTTATTTTCCCAGACAACAACCCCCACGAGCATGACCCAGTTACCATGTATTTAAGGTTATAATGCATTTTTACAACCCACTATAGGCACATATAGATCCTCTGTGTGGTTTTAACCATTTAACAACAGTTGTTTTACTCTGCCTCACTGCAATATAACACACCTGATAGCTTTCAGTGCAGTCGGGGAAAGGTTCTCTGTTAGTTTGTAACAAAAAGTGTCTCCTTTCAAACGTATTGAAGATTTAAAAAAAAAATGATCTCCTTACTATTGTATGTCAATACTTTTAACATCCGTGTTTGTCAAAAAACTCATAAAAAAAATAATTCTATATTGATTCTGACTTTTCTACATCCAACACACAGGTTTATCATTGCTTTGAGAAAAAAGATTATTAATTTACCCATTTTAGAAGTGACGATATAGTCATTTGTTCTGGGAATGTCATTTTCGAGTCTAAGACCTGAAAAACAGGCTTGGGGCTTAAGAGGTTAATCATTTTTCCAATTAGATATTTCTATAAAATGGTCCTAATTGGTGTACGAATTATTCGATTATGGCTAAAAACATGTTGACCTTTCACCAGCAAAATCTGATCATTTCCTCATAGAGTCCAACTGCTGGTGCAACATTTGAAGAAATTCTCCAAAGGAATCCCAGAGGTAAAGTGTTTTCGGACAACAGTAAAGACATACAAACGGAACCCAAAAACAATGTTATAACGGTAATTACCGAAACTTTAAATACTTTATTATTTATGTTAAAACTTAAAAGTGCCCTCTGGAGTTTTTCTTGTAAACACACTTTTAGTGTTTAATCCTATTTAAGAGCATTAAATAAAGCGTCCTTATTAATGATACAAAGTAAACCATCCCACTGAGGGCCAGGTTTATTAATTAGCCAGATACGTAACATCAGCAATTGATGCTAAAAGGGTTATTTTCCTTCATTCCATGCTGTTTGCTAAAAAAGCTGATATGATTAATTTGCTTGAAAACGACAATAATGAACAGTGTTTTCTCTTGAATATCCTGCTCATTGTTGAGTGTTTACACTGCTGCCTGCTGTATTTCCCCTAGCTATCTTTGAATGAAATGTCATGACAGAAGGGAGATGCAGGGAAGAAAAACTTGTGTTTTGATTAGTTGTTTTCATTCACATAGCTGAATAGAGGCCAGTGCCGGGGCAGAAATTACACACACAGTGGAAATTGTTTCAGAGGCTTTGTGAAGACTTTGAATTGGCTCTTTCGTTTCCCATCTCGATTGTCTTTCCCGAAACTAATTTATGTTCTGTTGAGTCCAAATGCCCTTCCATATTAATCTATTATTTTCCTAGTTGATGAGATTCAGTGGTGTCAATGCGCAGCCATAATGTATTGTACCGATAACACAATAAATTGGACATTCTATTGTGCTGAATGTATCCCAGCACAGTTTGAAATGTACCGCGTGATTGTGTGAAACGACCTTCATTATTCAGTTGAATTCATTTGAACAATAAGTGTGTGTGAGTGTGATGAAGCAGGCAATAGACCTCCAGTCCTGAGACCACGTTCGTCTCTTCTAAAAGTGTGTCCCATTCCTTTCGGAAGGACGCTCCAAGTTGACGAGGTTACGCTTCCTATTTGTTCTTGAGGTTAAGAGGGATTGAGACTGTGAGTTAGATGCGGAGTCTGAGTTAATTTCAATTTTGGAAGTGAATAGAAGAATAAACAGGAAAGCACGGCTCGACACAAATCCTTGTTTTGACCTTCAATTTTCCGCGCAAGCCATCAGACTGTGGATAAAAGTAGCTCTTGTGAGATTAGTTTGTAGGATGCCTAATCTTGCTTGTGTTAACAGAATGAGACGCTTGGCGAGAAATCTGGGAAGACTTTGGAAAGGAGCCATTGCTGTTCCTCACTGAGAGGAGCCAACTGGTTACCCTTATTTTGAGTTGTACTGTGAACGAATAACTGAAGGCGGAACCTGCAGTAACACACGCTGGAGAGATTAACAGTTGAGTAATATCAAGTCTAGGATTATTTAAACAATTTGAAATGGTGACAAAAAGCTGCTCTTACACAGGCTACCTTTTTTTATTTATGTGCCAGGTTTCTTTGGTTATTTTTATACATTTGTTTTTTAAATGAATATTTATGCCTTTTCATTTGTACATGTACCTGGAATGGTTTTTAAAATGACTGTATTATTCATAGCCTCTGCTCATTTGCACCGCAGTAATACATCAGGGCCAAAGCAGCCACACCAGAGAGCAAACTCCCATCTACACTCTACTTTATGTTCGTCTTTTGGAACATTTTTGGCTAGATTTAAATAAAATTTGACACAAAGTCTGATGTGTTAAGCCTGATAATATTAGAACAATAAGACAGATATGGCACAGGTTATGGCACATAGGGGTGACGCAATTTCGCACGATAACTGTGATGTTGAAAATATGTAATGTTGATATCATGTCAATGATACACATGATATTATTGTGGTGACCTTCTAGGTGTTTTAGTAATCACACAATTTGGTTTCCTTTTTACACTATGTGTATGCTTGTGCACATGTATGTTTATATTACTCTTAAGCTCCCTACACTCATATTTCGACCAGAGGTCGCGTTAACCGAATATTTTCCATCTATGACTTATCTTTTTTAACAATGACGGAAAAATCTGAAAGCTGTCCGTCATTTTGACGGATTAGAACAAACTCAGAACAGCGCCAAAGTTTCCCGGCAGAGGGGCTCCGTGTTCCGTGAAATGATGTAGTTTCCAAACCTAACTTTTCCGAACAGATCATTGAAATGTCTGTGAGTATTTGCTTTACGCTGTGCGCGCTCCCGCAAGGTGCAGTGGGCATGCATAACACGGCACTAACAGTCCATGAACGTGCGTCCACCCAGCTTTCAGCGATGGTTGCTAGTAGAGAAAAACACTCCCCCACTGTGAACTGTTTCATTAGTGCCAGGAAGGGTTGAGAGGATAATGCCTAATAGTGTGAGACAAAGACATCCAGATGAGAGCCGGGAAAAAATACTCTTTAGACAAATGCCTCGAAAGGTCAGAAAGCAAATCTAGACAAAGGACATGTATTCAAGGCAGAGCCACTGGCTTCCATGTCAATACAGTAATTATTGAAACAAAAGTCCCCCACAGCAAGGTCTTTAGGAAGAGCGAATCCAAGAAAAGAGACATAATGTAATGGTGGACAGTGTAATTGCCGACATCACTGGAAGGAGGCTGAATTGAAGGGCACGTGCTTATTATTCGATTTTTCCACTGAAGCACCAAAGTGATTTGTTTTTCTCCACCTAAAAATGAACACATGCTGTCGCTCTTTCCGAGGGATATACATAACTAAGAATAATATGTGGAAAACATGTGTAGTAATTGTGTGTGCTCGTGAGCATCAGCTTTGTATAATGTGCCTTACAAGCGTTACTGTGTGGATTTATTTCCTTGAATCCCCTTGAGAGGAAAGTGGTTAGAAGCATTATGGCTTTATCTCTACAACCTTGACAAAATGATTGAAATGTGGTGTCATGGAGAAAAAGATAAAATCTCAGACTGAGCTGCATGTAGACTCACGCTGCGACGCGCTCTCGGAAGTCAATTCAGCACCCTTTACAGGTTTTTCTTGCAAATAAACAACACACAAAGCCCTGTTTCGCTCCTTCTCTCTATGCTTTTTGTGCGGTGTCTCTCCAACTCCCCCACACAGACACGCAAGTGAATACATAAACCCGTTTCGCAATAATTAGCTCATTCGTTTTCATCCATTATTACGACTTGTAAGCCGAAAGATAACTTCAGGGGAGTCTTATTTGCATAATCGTGAAAGGAATCGCTTCGGCTCCTCAACACTGCAGTCTCCAGCACAGATGTCTCAGAGCCGAGAGAAACATTTATCAGCATCTCAAAACAAAACACTCACCCTATTAGTGGCAATAATTGAAACTCAATTCCGCTTCCCAATCAAATGCTGCAAGCGAATTTCCCCCAGATACCCTTAGTATGGTAGTCATGGTGAGTTGTGTGCGGGCGGTGAATCCTAAAATGGCACTATTTACCATAAAGACACGGAATTAAGGATGTAGTCTTTGGCAAATAGGATATGAGCATGTTCAAAGCAGCATGTTGATTTCTGTATGTTCGCTCATGACCTCGCTCTCCTTGGGAAGCCATGCAGCGGCTCGCTCTGTTTGAAGAGGATTGACCTTCCATTGGGACAAAAACACTATTGATCAACAAACTCTATTACAGTTGCTAAGCTGTTTGTTTGTAAATGTCCTCAGAGTAAGTGACAAAGCTGATGTGCTATCATTTCTAAACTTTTTCTCTCGCCACTTCCTGCTGCCCTTCTCATATCCCATAATGCATCTGGTTACCCTGTAGCAGTGTTGGAAGAAGTACTTGGATCTTTAGTAAAAGTACAAAAGTATTGACATTAAAATATACATAAGTACCACAAGTAAAAGTATGTGTTACGCATTTAGAATTATGTATGTCCAATTACTGGATTATGATTATTGATGATGATTGATGATCACAATTTATAGGTAGAGCTTAATGACTCTGTTGAGTGCTGCTGGATATTTAAACCTTTATTTATATTTCAATGTTTATTTGTTACTTGATTTTTATGTTGTATTACCTTATAAAATGTATCTGTAAAGTAACTAATTACAAAAGCTGCCAGTTGATAAATGTAGGAAAGGAAAAAGTACAATATTAGCATTTAAAATGTGCCGTAGTCTAACGTAGCATACAATGAAATCCTTAAAGTTCAAGTAACTTAAATTACATTAAAGTTGATTTAAAAAAGGGTCTGAGTCTTTAGGGTACTTAGCCAAGCTGTTTGCAGATAAGGTGTGAAAACGTAGCTTTGCGTTCTTTTAGGTAGATTTCTACTAAAAAATATGTAATTCATCCTTAAATATGAATTGACTTTGTTGTTCAGTACAGATCGCTTCAAACTTTTCTCAGGACAGAAGTCCACACCGATAAACACATTTCACACCATCTTCTGCTTAAACCTGACAATCTTCTTGGTCTCAATCCTTCCAGAATTAATTGATTTAGTTACGGGGGCTCCCTGAACGATTGGATATAATGAAGACCAGTGAAGTGGGGTATTGAGCTATAAAATGAAGCGATCCCCGACTCCCACCGTATATTTTCCTGACAGCTCTTGTGGACAGCACCTTCTAAAGGAGTGAGTTTGGCAGGAAAGCCATCCATCCCTAAACACAGCCATCACTTCCCCATAATTATCCAGGAAGAATCAAATTAGCTCCTGACAAGATAATTCACTGACCGCCTTAATCTGCCTCGGACTCCTCGCCCCCGCAGATAAGTCAGCTAAATGCTCAAGCTTTTGATAAGAAATTATAGTCAAAAGCAGACCAATTTACTGGAAAGCTTGCCTGTCTCTAGTGCGTGTGTTTACATGTGCTTTAAAACGTGATCGACTTTGAGGCAGGAAGTCCAGTTGAATCCATTAAACCACCATTATGTGCAGTTTGCTAATGTCAAAAGCTTCATAATGAACAGTGCCGCCTCGTCACACCGTGAGAGGTCGTACTCTCAAACCTCACACACTTGTTCTCTTTGGAAATAAATGCCATCTTTTTAATTATGTGGGTTTATGTTTCCGTCAAGAAAATGTCAGTTTACCTGACGTACCAGATGGTTTGTAACAAAGGACCAGTTGGAAAGTGTTTGGGAAGCTTTCAAAAAATGCTTGGCAGGGGACTAGATGACTCATCTGTCAATCAAACTCTTGGCAAAACATGGCGGGAGAAAAGAAAAACATATTTTTTGTATAAAAAAAAAAAACTTTCGATGCTATTCTTTGCTCTTCAGTACATTTTACTCCGGTCTGATGCTGATAGCTGATTCTGCTACAGCATCCACGTCAACCTATTTGGGTTAGGGTTAGGATCATAATTGAAGATCCAAGCGATAAATCTACTTTTTTAAACTTAAAGACACAGTTTAATATTTGAGCACCAAAGCATAGCCTACAGTTTGAAGTCCTAAAGAATAAAAAATACCTGATAAAAAAATGGTTGTTTTTTCTATTGCCTTTTCATTCAACAAATGCTTATTTCAAGTAGTGCAAGTACAAGGGTGTTTATTGTGTCTGAGAGACTGACGTTAAAATCGTAGGTTGATCTTTAATTCAATCCCCTCGAAAACACCAATAGTTCAAAGGCCATCTCTTTTCTTAGTAGTTTTAGCAGCTCTTGTTTTTTGGGGTTTGAAGATAAAAGAGCCTTGAAAGTGAGTTATAGATACTGTTCCTTACGGCGGATTACAGCTTGTTTACAGAGCATCAAGCGAGTGTTAAAGATTGGCCTTGAGGTATTGATGGCTTGCCCAGTTAGAAGTGGCCTTGTGTTGGCAGTTAGGGAGTCAGCTGTCAGTCTATTTTTATGTGAGACGCCTTCCGATATTTGTGATGAATCATACATACTGCTGGGTATTCACATGTATGCTTGTGTGTGTGGGAGGAGGCACAACAACAAACGGATGCTGTGTCCTTAAGCATGTGTGAAAAACCACGTCTTTATAGTTGTCTGCGATGCATGCATGTGTTCCCATGTGTGTGTCCTCACCCCCTGTGAGAAGTAAAATGCTGCGATTCCCAGGGGCCAGAAACAGCACAGCATGGAGAAGATGGCCAGGCCCAGGTGGTCTCGAGGGGGGACCACTATGAAGTTGTCCTCACTCTCGCTGTCGCTGGAGCAGTCCGTCTGTGCAGAAAAACAGCAATTCGATCAAAACACACATCACTTAATGTTGCAATTCATGAGTGGTGAGCAAATGGGTAAACAAATCTGGCATTTAATGTTCAAAAAGTAGTTTGACATTTTGAGTGAAGGGCTTATTTGCATCCGTCCAAGAGTAGATTAAAATGTTGATACGTCTCTTCAAATAGAGATCTTCTCAATTTAGGAGTATTTTCTAATATGTCGACCTATTTTTTTCATCTACAGAAAACACTTTTTTATCAATTGCAACCAGTTGTAACCCGGGCAGCGTTTACGTTTAGGGTTTTGTTTATTAGTTGTAATGACATTTCAGTCATTTTAATTTTTTTTAATTCTAGTTTGAGTTGAAGACAAATCATTACATGTTGGTCCCTCTTTAGTCCTGAATTTTCATATATTTTCTCTCTCTATTTTTTTATCTAGTCTTAGTCCTGTATTAAAACAAAATTTTTTGTCAACAGATTAAATTGAATATTTCATTAAAACTAAATACACAATACACATTCTAGTCTTAAAAACACACAACATAGCAGCTTTGTTATTCAGCGTCCTCCTGGCTGTGCCCATTAGAGAGGGCCGCTGCAGGCCAGTTGCTCCCAGCACATAATGAGAGCCATTTCACACTGCCCAACATGCAAAAATATGTATTAATAAATCACCAGAACCCGACACGAGCAACAAACCGCAAACTCTATGCAAGAAGCATACTGTAACTCTCAGAATTGAGAACCGTTGTAGCTCTCGCGAAACAAAAGCAGACATTTTGGTACATTTCAATTTTTTAAACTACAACTTAGTTAAGTTGTAGCACGCTCCTTCGACTGGACAGGGCATCCATTTTCTGTGAAGTTTTCAACAAGACCTCCAACTCATACGACCAAATAGGTAGATTGTTCAGCAGCTTATTACGACCTATAGTCGCGTTTTAAAGTTTAGCACCTCTAGTGGTTGTATAAGAAACAACAATTTGCGGCAATTGCAAACGCTCCGGAGGGTCGTATATTCACAAATAACCCTCTCTGGAAAATCCTAAATTGTAGAATAGTTTTGTGATTAAAATGTTTTTTGATTAGATTTCTAGCAAGAAGTGTATATTGTACTTTTAGAATCCACGTCCAGTGGATGTGTAGGATCTATAGTTTGATAGATATTACGAAGATTATTTGAGGTTTCGCCAGGAGAACGTGACAAAAGCGTTCTCATTTCTCTAATGCCTGTCATCTTCCCTTTACAAGCTTCAAAAATGTATTTATCGTGTGATTTTCGAAATAAAAGTTTAAT